CGGGCCGCCACAGCCCGGGGGCCTCGGCCGCACAGTGACGGCGCTTTCCCGCTGGCCCGCAGGCCCGTCCTCCTCGGAGCCGGTCCCTCCGCTTCTCACCAGGAGCTCACGGGGGCAAGACGGGAGCCCAGGCGCCCGCGCCCGCCGGCTGTGGCTGCGCCTGCGGACAGGCCTCCGCAGCTTTGTGGAAAAGGTGCGACTGGCCCAAGGCTTCTTTCCTGGCCTGGCTTTCCCCCTCGGGGCCCCTCGCATGATCCCAGTCGATCCTCTTGGCTCCCCTAGGCGGGCGGGTACGCGTCTCTTCCTGGTCCCCCAAGGTGACCGAGGCCTGCCCACCCTGGCCCGCAGGAAAAGAGATCAGAGCTGCGCGCGGCTCGCTTGACTCACGGACTGGAGCCACTGTGCCGCCTGGAGGTGGCGGCCGGGCTGCTCTCCGTGGCGCAGGACCCGGTGGGTAGACGCTTTGTGGTGCTGGACCGTGCGGGCCACCTGCACCTCCACAGAGAGGACGGCTGGGCTCATGAGAAGCTGCTGGCCCCCACCGCCCTCACGGGGCTGGTGGCAGTGCTGGGCCCGCTGGGCTGCTTGGGCCGCTTTGTGGGCTGGGGCCCTGCAGGGCTGGCCATCCTCAGGCCAGACCTCAGCCTGCTGTGGCTGAGTGAGCCAGGAGTGGGTAGGTCACCCCACCGCGAGCCCATCTGCTGTCTTCCAGTGCCCGACTTGGGGCTGCTGCTAGTGGCCGAGGCGGGCGGCGGCCTGGCGCTCTGGAAGTTCCGTTTAGGGGGTCGCTGTCTGTCGCCCTGCGGGTCAGCTCTGCAGCCTCCGTTAAGTTCCACCCATGCGCTCACACGTCTGGCTTTGGGGCCTCTGTCTCCCAACCACACCCCTTGCTGCTTGGCGGCCTATGGCTCGGCTGTGCTCACCTTTGATCTGCACACGTGGGCTGTCATAGATGTGTGCCAGGATCTGCACAAAACGTGAGGGGGGCCCCAGGGACGGGGGACCTTGAGGCAAGTCCCCCAGGGAAAGCCGGTTTGGTCAGGGGGCAGGCACGCTCACATGAGGTGATGCCGAGTTGGCTGGGCCTTTCCCCCCAGCACCATCTCTGACCTGGCATACTGTGCAGAGGTAGAGGCCACAGTGACAGCTTCCCGAGACAGCACGGTGAAGGTGTGGGAGACCGACTGGCAGATCCGAATGGTGTTCGTGGGCCACACAGGTACACCGCGCCACTGAGGCTCCGGAGGCCTCTCTCCGCCCTGCCTTAAAGAGCGTTGGGCTGTCCAGAACCTCCACCAGCTCTGGCTACCACGCTTCTTTACGTTGGTCGTAACCCAAGCTGATGGTTTCCCTTCCCTTAGTCCCTGGTGTGCCCAAGTGACCTCCTTCCCCCCCGCCAGGCCCGGTGACAGCTCTGGCCGTGCTCCCGAACACATCCCTGGTGCTGTCCGCCTCGCAGGACGGGACACTTCGGACGTGGGACCTGCAGGCGGTGGCACAGGTGGGCGAAGTGACACTGAGCAGCTGGGGCCAGGACACGCGGTCAGGGTGCGTGAGCCGCCTGCTGGCGCCCGCCGGCCTGGGCTGGCCGGTGCTCGCCCTGCGAGCAGGCAGCGTGGAGCTGTGGCGCCTGCGCGAGCTCTACTCGCCGCTGGCACAGCTGTCCGCGCCCGTGCTCCACCTGCAGGTGGCGCCCGAGCTGCCCCTGC